GACTAGAAGACAGATAAGGAATAGAAAAAGAGAAATATATTAGCCCAAGATGTAATTTAATATCAATATTCAAATTAATTATTATTATTACATAAATTAATCTTTGCCGCCTAATAAATTGTACAAAATCACGTAATTGCATTTATAGTCATCATTTCAGTATTTTAAGAGCAATGGAAAGCTTTTTAATTATTTACTATTTTCTTTTATATTTTTAGGAAATATTTATTAGTTTTACTAAAAGTAATAAAACACTAATTTAATAAATTAACTTTTAATTACCATGAAACAATCCATGAAAAGAGCCAGCGAAATAGGCCACCATCGATTGCTTTACAGGTATACTAAACCCATTTGTAAAAATACAGTAAACCCATATTTAGAGAGCTGAAGGATTATGCTTTAGCAAACCAACACGTATAAATGTAATTTTCACACACTAAGTTTGATTAAGAAAGTAATTAAGCATAACAATGACCATTAGCGCAGCTCAAGGAGAGAGCATGATTATGTGTGCGTGTGTATGTATGTGTGTATGTGTTGCTAATATTTATCTATGCATTAAAAATGATTTCAAATATAATTTCTAAGCAGAGCTTAGGATATCGTCTGGTCAAGCACTCCCGACCAGAGCACTCTCACTTGAATCGTAAACATTTTACAGTTGGCCTATATAACAACAATGTAATTAATTAAACAAATACCTTTTGTTTGTGCATAAGAATGTATTTATTTTGTAAATATTGCCGTTCTATTAATATTGTAGGTCAATATATAATATATAAGTACAAAAATATTTAACAATCAAATAAAGCACATATATATATTCGGTATATATTTATATAAAAAAGTGCTGCAAAATTTAGACATTTGTCAGTCAGAAGAATTTGGGATCTCTTTCAATTTCGCACGAAACCAAGCGCAGCGACGTTCTTTTGCCAAGCATGACAGACAAATGTGCGAGAACCTCCGTCAGAGGGTGAAAATGTCGAGCGTTTGATATGCCACACCACACAAGGCAGCCTGGCAGGCTGGCAGCAGTCAAAAGTGTTGATACAAAATGTTCAGCAAACTTGTTAATTAGCAGAATAGAACAAAAGTGCATGTTTATTATATAAAACATTGAAGAAGAAGAAGAAAAGAAAACCAAGCTATAGAAAAGAATTGAATACTTAAAATCTAGTTAAACTATTTGATGGAGCTGCTGAAATTCTTCTCATTGCTCAGGCACTGATTGCAAATGGTGCAGAAGATTTGCTGTAAGAGAAGAGGCAGTTATTAGTATAATAGAGGGCGAGTCAGAGCGTGGCAGTCGGGCGTTACCGACTGCAGAATACTCATTCACAACCCGAATGCTGCTAGATCCATTTTCCTGTTAGCAATGCGCCGAACGGGCGTATATATGTATATACGCCGTATCTTTTTGAACTTGTATTGACAGAAATATCGGATATCGCCAGACGTACAGACGGACAGACGATCGGACGAACAGCAGGGCGGGGCATTGTTCATGACCAATATACTCGTTTCACTTTCATAATTGGTAAATATAAATATAGATAGATCGATAGATCGTACGGGAATGGAGGAACGCGCCGTGCAGCCGCCCGCTTGAGAGGAACCCGTGCACTCAAAGTGCCGCAGCCAGCTCTTGATCACATTTGTGGGCGGGATCTGATAAATGCTGAACTGTTTCTTAAACATGCGCTGCGCTGTGCTTATGGAATCATTATTTCTATAATAGGCGCGTATTATGAACGCCCGATGCACGCCCGTCCACTGATCCATTGCGACTGAGCTGAAATTATTTGTGCTCGAACAGAAACCTTGGCGGCATTTCCGGTTCATGAGTGACATAAAAAAGTGCAACAAAAAAAAAAAAAAAAAAAAAAAAAAAAAAAAAAAAATTTAATTGGTCATCTGCTGATGCGTTTTCACTCTATTTATTAATAACGCGGCGTATGAGTAATGCAAAATATAAATATTTTCCCTCTTGTTTTTTTTTTTTTTTTTTTTGGGTAATTTTCAAGTGTAAATTGTACATTGTAAATTGTCGATTTGTGCCTTGCCACGTCTGCCAGCCCTCCGCTCTGCTCAATCTCTATGTGCCAGCCATCAATCAATCTAACAAAGTCATCATCATTACGCTTCATCGGGCACGCCCAGCCTCACACAAATGGTGGGCGTGGCTGGGATAAATCTACAATCTTGAACTCATTTAAAGTTTTCCTACAACTTGAATCCGCTTAGGCATTCGGCCATCATGTCAGTAGTTGGCCAAAGTCTTTAAGCTTTTTTTTTTGTTTGGTCGCCCCTCTGTCCCTATAGACGGCCATATATATACTCTATATTTTTAGAGGGTGGCTCACACAGACAAGATTGATGGGCTGTTGAGGTTATTTTAGCCAAATATTTAATGTAACTACGGTGCATAATTTATTGAGTTCGTGCTACCAACTTACTGTTATGGGCTATTAAAATTTTATAGAGTTTATTGATGAGAGTTTTTTTTTTTTCTTTGAATATAGAATATTTAACAGGTAGGCTGAAAGGTTCGTTGGGTAACAGCAAATATTTGTTTTGTTTCAATATTACTTGGTTTTAGTAAGTAATTTGCCTTTAAGATGATAAAATGATGATACTGTTTATAATATTTTTCGAACATGTTTAACCTCAAAATAGGCCTCAATTTTGGCAATTAAATTTCAATTTTAATATTAATTTCTTTCTAAAAGACTCAGAAACTCAGCTCTAGAGAAAACTTTTTAATTTTATAAATTTTATTTAATTTATTTTTTATATCATAGGTGATATATTCTTATATGCTTCTAACTCCTGTAAACATTTATGAATATGCTATTTCATCAACTTGCTTGCTTTTACGTTAACTTCACGCTGTTAACTATCATTAATTTCATTTTAATTAAGTTAATATTTTAATATATTGTATATCTATAGGCAAGTATAGATTTGAAAGTTGTTTGGCTTTGAATTAGGAATATTTTAAATATATTTTTATATATTTTATGTTATTTTATTTTTTTATACTTATCAAATGTTAAGCCTTCAACTGTTAAGTATTAAATTGTTAGTCGTTTAACTGTAATCTTAAACTCTGGTCTTAAACTGTTAAGCCCCTGTTAGGTATTAAATACGTAGTCCTAATAACATACAATTATACAAATGATAGTATCTAAACTATAATACTAATACTAATAATAAAATTTTGTTATCCTCTTTTTAATCACACAATATCACAAATTTCAATTTCATAGTCTATTATATCCTTTATCTTTGTTATTTAATTCAGTTTATAAGCAATATATATTTCATTTTAACAAATTCTTCTAAGCAAATCCCTGTTGAAACCCATTCACTGAGAGCATTTGCCATTCGTCTTAGCCAACGGTGTCACAAAGCGAGTTTTTAGCCATGGCTTTAGGTCCCATTCATTCACTTTTTATTTCGCCATTTTGCTGGACCATCGAGCACGTAACTGCAACACAATGCACGGGGTCCAGCATATAGATACATAGAAACAGATACAATTATGTAGTCTGTGTTTTGTTATTGTTTTTGTTGTCCTTGTTGATGGTGCAAGTTAGCTGCTGCCGCTGCTGCTGTCGTTTTGGCGTTTATACAGTTAACCAGGCAGACAGACTATCCCATTGCTATACCCTCTATATATATATATATATATATATGTATGTATATACCCTGTGCTATGCCATCCACTGCAACAGAGCCATCCATCCATCTGCACTGCACGTCCAGCCAGGCAGGCGTCTATCCATGTGTGTGTGTATGTGTGTCTGTCCGAGGCCTTCGTTTCCTTCCTTGCTCTGTTTTTATTTTCTTTTTTCCTGCTGCTGCTGTTGCTGCTGCTGCTGTCTGCCTGTCATTTTGACACCTTCATTTGCTCCGAACATTCAGTGCCAGAGTCAGGTCCCTGATTCTGTTGCTCTCTTAGCTTTTATTTTTTTTTCTTTCTTTTTTGTTTCGTATCGTTGGCTAAATTGTGTGCGTGTGAGTCTGTGTGAGATTGTAATTTTTGGTGAAATTTCTTTTATAGTTTTCTTTACTTTTTTTAAATAGATTTTTTGAAGCGATACCCTGCACGGATTTTTTTAGATTATTGATATGAGCTTAGCCTCAATTTAGTACTTAGGCATAAATTGTTTCATTATTTTATTATTTTATTAAATTATTTATGATATATTTTTTAATTAGGTAG